GGAGGAGGGTCCTCAGAGTCTAAAGCCCCGGGGAAACGACCCTCTACTGTGGAGTCTCCCAAACCCAGTGCGAAGAAGAAGAAGGGCAGCTCAGAGGGGCCGAAGGGGCCGACCAGCGGGGCCTTCACAGGAACCTCTCCCAGAGTCTCCTCCTCGTCGGCAGCCAGTCAGCCGTACGCAGAGAAGAAACCCCCAAAGGAAAAAGGTCGCTGGCCCAAAGGCAAAAATGACACGCAGGAACCAAAGGAGCCCAAGAAAGTTCCAGAATCTGAAGAGTCTAATTCAGAGGACGAAGCGTCGTCAAAATCAGAGGTCAGCCTCACAGGAGCTAAATATTTCAGATTGTTAGTCGGCTAACGCTCCCAAAAGAGAACATTTGAACGAGGCAATGTATTTGGCCATTAAAGATTGTGTCAGTTGATTGATTAAGAATCTAGCTAATCATTTCCTTGAGAGGCATGATATTGTTTTGAGATTGGAGCTAATTAAATGCCATAATTGAAAATTACAACACTCCAGATGTCAAAAATAATCACCTGTAGTCAGGATTTGTTTAGCACATTTACCTTTTTTAGCTCATCAACTTTTTTACCTATTCTGTCAATTACTTTCCTCACTTGTTATCCCTCTCATCATTTCTTCTTCTCCTCCTCTTACAGCAGTCGGCCCCTTCCAGTCCTTCCAACTCCAGTTCGAGTTCCGACTCCAGCTCTGATTCTGACTTTGAGCCGGGACAGAAACAAGGGCAAGGTAGGAAGTTCATTCCCTTTGTTTCATCGCAGAGATTAGCATTAATCTGAGCATGTCAAAGTAGGTTGTAGTTGTGTTATATAACACAACTGTATTTCTCTCCCAGGCCCCCTGCGATCGATGGTAGAGGAGATCCAGTCAGAGGAGTCAGATGATGACGACAGCAGCTCAGAGGAGGAGACGCCCATCAAGACCAACCCCCCCAACCGTGACTCACGGTCAGTCTCTTAAAAAGTCCCGTGACATCTTAGATGATCAGTCACAAACAGTAGTCCTTGAAAAAATAACACAGATGTAACCGCGCTCCTGATAAAAGAGGTCTGCGATGGGTCTACACTTTCATCTTGTTTCCAGCATTATGATTAAAATGTATCGTTTCGCTAAATGAAAATAGAGTGTGTGCGCTTAAATGCATATATTTTTTCTAAACACAACCCTTCACTACAATTTAATTGAACTTTTTCAAATAATCTGACATATTTTGATAAGGGAACCTTCCCCAGTGAACTCACTGTCCTTGACTCAGTGTTTTGTCTCCTCAGTATTGTTTACTGTTGTAGATTTGTAGATGTCTGTTGTGTCTCCTTGACTGAATGATATCAGGCTCCATATTTGCAGCAAGTTAAGAAACATGAGTTGTGTTATGTCTGTCTTCTCTGTCTATGTGTGATTGACCTCTGACCCCTGACCCCTGTCAGACTCAGCCTGGACAGTGAGAGTGACAGCAGTGACGGCTCGCACAGCCCCAGTCGAGACTCCGCCCGGCCCCCCCAGAAACACAGCTCCTCCAACAACAAAGTGAGTCACACACTTCATTTACTCCCTGATTTCATTGATGTGATGACAGGAATGAAATTGTTAGAGTAGAAAAGGGACTCCAGACAGGGTTCCTACTTATCTATTAAAATTTAATTAATTAATTTAAAATGATGGCAAATTGTGTTACATTTCCTTAATCAAATCTTTACAAAGGTGAAAATGCAAAAAGAAAAATGCAAAAAAAAAGAATAAAATGCTAAAAATACAAATGCTAAGACAAGCAAAGTAGGATTGTGTGAGTTTTCTATTCTGATATTGTATTTAAAAATCAACAATATCAAAAGAACAGTCTCAGGCTTAATTAAGATGTAGACGTCTGACTACTGAATTTCATGAAATGGTTTATTTGTAACCCTCTTGACATTTTAACAATGGAACAGCCTCAGGCTTCCACTTACTGCTTAAGTGTTCCAGCTCTGTGATGTGTCTCATAGCTCACATCATTTCCTCTGTCTCTCTTCTTTGTATCCCCTCTCTTTCTATAATTCCTCTCCTCCTTTTCTCTCTTTTTTTTTTTGCTCCTGTCTGCAGGTTTCAGGCAGAAAGAGTCCAGATTCCTCGTTTCGTTCAGAGAAGGTTTTGAAGAAGGGATACGACAAGGTAGGAAGGGTAAATACAACTTTTCTTTTACGCTTTACCTCACATACACATACATGCAGTGTTCTGCCACATCCAGCGAGTGCATAATGAATTCAAGATGGAGTATTGGACAGTGAATTGATCCAGATGTGCAAACAGACTCTGGCCTATGAACCCTTGCCTAGAAATCTCTTTTCCTCTTTGTAGCGAGGTTATTCATGAAGTGATGATTTTAAATCTGGTAAACCGATCCTATATCGATCCTTACGCATTAAAAAGTTTCAATTCATTTTGTTGAGACATAAGAAAAGTTTAAATCCCATACTGATTGATTTCAAAGGATGCCTTCTTTATAGTAAACAAAAAATAAATAAAAAGTCTTTAGTGCTTTTGACAATTTTAACTTTAAATTCACTCCTCAATCTGGACTCTTTTTAATTTGATTTTATCATCAGTTTTTCCACCTATATTGTTACTAATCAGGGGTTCCCGCGGGGTCTTCAAAAGTCTTAAATTGGATCATCTGAATTTAAGGCCCTAAAAAGGTCTTAAAAATGATCAAAAGAATTAAAAGGTCTTAATTATGATTTAGAAGGTCTTCAAAATGATCGGATTCGAAAGGTAGTTCTGTGTTGCGATCGCGTCTAAATGTGTTTTGGGGGAAATGTCCGGGATGCAAAGTAACCAGTACGGTAAGAGCCTTTCAGTTCCCTCCTACAATTTGTATTGAAATAAATCAACATGGAATGAGTAATCACTAACTTTGTTTCCCCCGGCCCCTTATCGGAGAACACCCAGCTAGTAACCTAGCAACCAAGCTAGCGGCAATCAGAGGCTCAGGTATCTTCGAATCTATTTACAAACAAATATGGGGAAGTCAAATTAAATTCAAAATTCAAAACCTTTATTTATTCAGGTGAAAACCCATTGAGATCATTAACCTCTTTTTCAATGGTGACCTGCTGAGGAAGTGTAAGTTCAACCGTATTTGGTTGGAAAATATCAAATTAAGTGCTTGGTTGAAACCAGTTGAGGGGAACGTGTTTAAAGCCCGCTGCACCTTTTGCAAAACACCTTTTGTTTGTTTTGCTAATATAGGCCGTTTCTCAATCGCGAGGAAATTGGCTTCCAAGGCTTATTTCAAGGATGCTACGTCATCAAGTGGCGCAGCAGGACAGTTCCAATGTCCAGCATACTTGGAATTCCACCGAGGCCGCGTCCTTGGTTTGGGGGAAATTTCGAGGCTGGACATGGGTAGACTTCGCATCCTTCAAATCCCCACAATGCTTTGCGCACAGACCAATTTCCCCAAATCTGTGGCGGAAAATGTAAGGCGGGGCCTCTCATATGACGCACACTTGCTAGCCTGTTCCACTCTTCGTTTTCCGAATGCCAGGAAGGATTCTTGCCTAGCTTCTGAAGGAAGTGACTCGGAGGACATGGGCTACCAAGCAAGCCTACTCGCGATTTAGAAACGGCCATAGCGTTAGCTAGTGCAGCAGCGGCTAGATCCCCTCCTGGATTTTAGGCGGCGGAAGTGACGCAATCTGCCACCCAGGAAACGAGACGAGCATATTACATGTATTATTTTTGGTTGTGTATTTGTGTTTCCAGGTATAACATTTAAGTTATAACAATCATAATTTGTGGATTAATTTCATTATGGTATTTGAGTTTGTTTCAGATTAACTCTTGTATTTGATGTTGCAATTTAATTTCTCAATAGAGAGACAAAAATCAGCGTAAAAAGGTATTGGTGGATATCTGACCAGTATTATGATATATACTATATATAAAGACATATAAT